GTCAGTTTTCAAGTGATTGTAAGAATTAAATTCTCAAGTAATTTGTGCGTCTTGGCTACTGTGACGCAGTCCATTCGTTTTATTTCATATCCAGTTGTGTTTTGTTTTGTTGTGATTTGATAATTTTTTTATTTAACTGCAACTTTGTTTTAAATGCAGGTGTACATTAACTACAATATCTAAATAATTAGAAGAATGAATTAAATTGAGAATCTTCTTTTTTTCGCAAGATTCGATCAGAAAAATCAATGTTCAAATCTCTACATATAGTAATAAATTCATAAAACTATCATTAATTTTGTAGAGGGTTATCTGACGATTTCCTAAGAAAGCGACTAACTTTATCTCATTCTATTATGGGTCTGTAAATGCCCAATAAGATAATTTTGAGTGTAGTAAGATGTACGACTGTTATTTCAAAAACCTTTTCATCTGAATATAGGTTGAATTACGACAAGAATTAAGAATCTTTATCATTTCTTACGTAAATACATTAACCTCCATTTAGGATGAAATTTGTTCACTTAATCGAATTTGTTTCGTGATTAAGAGCTTGTTCAAGTAATCACGATTATATTGCGGGTTGAAAATTAATAATTTTCTAAACACGATTAACTAAAATGTCAAAAGAGATCAATAAAACCCTATCTGAGTGCGTGAAATAATAAATTAACTAAAATGAAAAGTCATGAATAAGTTCAAAAAGTAGAAGCGATAGGGCTAAAACTTGTGAAAATGTAAAGTTGCTTAGTAGTGTTTATTGGACATCTAAGGTACGTGAACAATATATGTGCTAGAGTTTTAAACAGACGAATTTCACTGACATGTGGTAAATAATGGTCTACGATCTCCAGACACTGTTATTGTGCATGCCAGTACGAACAACCTATAACTCTGCAGTAATGACTACGTTAAAAGTGGCGTCTTAAACCCGGCATTTGAGGCCAACAAGAAATTTCCTGGTGCCAAAATCGGCTGAAGTGTCATTTTGAAATCGAGTGGTGTACAATGACAGCAACTAGGGGCAATTAATGAAGTCTGTAACTGTGATTCGAATCGATTAGATGTCGTCTTCGTACATTCAGTAGCTGGCGGCAGAATGGTGACGTCATAAGGTGGTCGCTACTTGCACAGAAGGGGCGTGTTTACTAAGACGCTTCGTTCTGCTTCGTATTGCTCCTGTCGGCAGTTCGAAGGCCGAAAGAAAACGAACTAGTGGTGCTAAAACACTTTCTCTCCCAACGCCAATTTACGCGAAAACTACTCAAATTTTCGAAACATTGTTAATGAACTTATTTCAAAATCTATATGTAATAAACATATTTCATTAAAGGAAAAAACTGTATCTATAATATTTTAGTTGTAGAAAGACGCCAAAAAAATTCTGAACTTTGTAATTTTCGAAAAATTAGGGCTTTTTAACGAACATGAGACCTGCATCATTCTCTTAAATGTTCTTTACTCTATCCAATAACTAAATTGAATCAAAAACACTGAAGTGATGTTTTTGAAAATTTGGAAAATGACCAAGATCATCATATATTGCCAAGCTTCTTCATTTGCGAGTGTTTTTTTTCTGAGAACTTACTTTCTCAACGATAGAAAATATTATCATCCAGTATATATGGCTGTAATTATAACACACGACTTAAGATGGATGAGCATTTTTTGTCATTTTGATCAGTTCACTAAAAAATTTACATTAAAACTCATGTAGACTTGTAACTGTTTATAACACCTTTATTTCCAGATCACTAAACAAAAATCATACACACGTTTGAAGGCCAAGTAGAAACGTTTCTGCTTCCAAAACGGTTCCTCTACCGTTAGACTATACTGAGCATAATAAACGGAAATAATTTTTATTTTACAAAGATAACATCGTTTGTACTGTATAATTGTAAAGTCATAAAATAATATGTCTGAAATAAGTATTGTACTTCAGCCGCTGAGTTTATAAGTCCCATCTCCATAGGGTTTTCGCCCAGTTTGCCTTAATCGATGTAGCCAATGTGGAAATGTACTGTAACTCATTTGCCTATGCAAATAGTTTATATTACATGACGTGCAAATATTTGTTTTAAAAATTTTGTCAAGAAACGCTTGTTACTTACTTACTTTGTAATTCAACTTAATACGAAATATATTAGCGGGGAGATAAATTCTGGACTTTAAAAAACGTGCACAGATTGCACTTCTCCCCTAAACACCATAGGCAGTTTTATCTGTATTTGACGTTCAATAAATACGTTATTAAGTAAATTTTCTTCAACAAATGTGATAGTATATGTTCATAAAATAAGAATAATAAATTTTGAAATGTCAATATTCTGATTCATGGGTATTCTGTCTCTTCACAGCTCTCTATGAATACAAGAAAACGCTGTACTTTTTGCTCATTATTAGTTGACCACAAAAGCTGATCCTTCAGTTGCTTTCTTTAGATGTTTCATTTGTCATTGATAAGAGTATATTCATAATTTGCGTATGTTTTTATTTTTTACACATTACATTTTATTTATCATCTTCGCCCAAAGTGCTATCAAACGTCAGAAATAGTTATAACATTGAAGATAAGAGACGTGCGATGGATGTTATCTATTTGTGTTCATAAATAGGTTTTCAATGAATATAGGGATTCGTGTAAAGTGGGAATGAATGTAAAAAGAAAAAACTCTGAGTGTATATTTTCACATTGAGTCTTTTATGAACAATTTCGGTAATAATTATTCTACAATATTCTGAATTTACATTAAGGTAGTTCACGATTTTATTAATATTACAAACATTTCATGAATGTGGTTGTTGCATACAATAGTAGCTAGTGAGTCTTCGAAAAGATTGTCTAGAATTTTTGGAAGAGAACTGATGGCAACTCAATTGCACGGGCTTTTAGAGAAACTTAACCTCGTCTGAAAGAATGAATCTGCTAAAATATAATAAAAATGTCAGCAAATGAAAACACTAAAATATTATCATAAGCACTAAAAGAGTTCATAAAAGGCTTGGATATCATCTGTTGTTATGTTACTGTTTGGTTTACGATTTCCGTGCGGAGAGCGGCTCTGGCGCCTCATTCTGTTGAGCCCACGCAATGTGTGCCAGGCGGCACAGAACATGCAATGCCCTAGCTTTCAGACTTCGGATAACTCACACGCCGTTTCTAAGATCTAGCAGGTGACAAAAACTGATTACATACTTACCATCTAGCTAAGCGTCTTCTAACGCAATCATTGGCAATGATTAGCTTCGGTTTAAATTCCTACACACAGTCTTGCAGAAGACGCCATCTTTTTCAGGAATTCTTGGCGTCTTAAATTTAATTCGCATGATGTCACCATTGGCTTGTTTGATTGTCCTGTCTAGGAACGGAGTGTCGAAACGTGCATCTACTTTGAAGCTCAGTCGCCCAACTCTTCTCGCGTTTCATCCTTGTAAGTTTGAGCGGAAAATGATCTCGGACATAAGCAAATAAATCCACAATCTGCAATTTGATAAGTCCCAGGAAGAGATTATAGATGTAAAATAGAGGCCTGTCGCCAAATTAAATAATGCACAAATATGGTATCACCAGCTTAAAGCACTAGAAAATTTATGACGTGCATGAACATTTTAAATTTAAATAATTACACTTGTACTCTGATTGTATGTCTTCTAAAGAAGGAAAATGATCCCTTTTCTGAGAAATTTCATTTAATAAAGTTGCGCACGTCGCTGTGGCTCCTGATTAGAAGGCGTCCGATCGTGCGTTGGGGGTTTGGCAAGTCACGTTCTGATGCCGTCGAAGAGATTTCGTATACTCGTCAAACACCAATACATCAACTAGCCAATCATGGGCTAATGTCACATGTGCAATATGAAGTTTCCCCACCACATGTGTGTTCATTGGCAAAACAAAATAATGTTCTACTCCCCTACCTGATATAGAAGTTTGTACCACTCATTCTGGAACATTCTCTATAAGTTCCGAAGAAAATAAGCATGAGGTGGAATGGCAAAGTCACGTACTATATTGTCACTCTCACGTTCCGGTATAGCAACACGATATACATGCGATTAGTATTAAGCATTATACATACAACACGAGCTACTAACATTTCTTGCTCGCGGAACATATTTTTATTAAAACTAACTTCACAATCAACAATTGTAATGACGTACAGCTAATTAACGGATTTATTCAAGATATAAAATAATTTATGTTCTATAAATTGATGTGAAAATACTCAAGAGCTTTTTCACTGCCGTTCTTAGGTGACGACACTAACATATTCACGTGACGGCGAACTGTCAACTACATTCTAATTTTATATGTTGTTTTATGAATAATATATAAAGGAAAGAAAATAATTAATATAACAAATGTATTTTCTGAGTAAAGAGTTGTTTTTGTGATTTTCTTCTTGACACTTCAACTGAAATGTCTTCAAAGTCTTTCATTTGGTGGACGTGAATTTTTAGGTTTTCTCCTCCCCATTGTACAATTTCTTAACGACGAGGCCAACAATCTCCTCCCAAGCATCTGCGTATTGAACGATTCCATTTTTGGTTCACTTCATTACATACGTTGATGAATCGAATGAAAGCCTTCGAAGCCTTCGAAGGGCGATAAAAATGCACAATGTGAAGCGTTGCTTTCTGTCTTGGAAGTGCTGTTTGTTTGGACATGTTCCGATGAGGTACACAATGTAAAGAAAATTGGAAAATAATGCATAACTAATTATAAAGGCTTCTTTAAAAGGGGAAAATGTGCATGTATTAATTATTATTGGTAATATGAAAAATGCATGGTGTTACACCTTCAGTGACGTTGCATTGGATTTCCGTATATTATTAGTTTTTGTACTTTGTAAAGAGTCAACTGTGTTAAAACTGAGGAGTCCGTTAAATGATACAGGTACGTTTATATAACAGCTGTTTGAAAACACGTTATTCAATCCAAGTTCCACACCATTCTAGGATGAAATAAACGTTTCTTAGAATGATGGTCTTTTTTAAAGCAACGTCGTATACTGCAAACTGCTCTGACAAAACGCGCTCTGTTCTCCACGCAAAACGCCATAACGGCCAAGCCGATCCCTGCCATCCACATGCCGAAGGCCTCGATCAGAAACACCAACTTGAGCGCTCTCACGGACTCCGGGGGCACTCCGTAGGCCACGGGGTTCCTTCTGAACGCCGCGTACTGCGGGTCGTTGCGGAGGTAGAACTCGAACTCGTGCTGGCTGGCCTTGGTCATCAAGCCGCCCTCCACGATCCACTGGACGAAGCGCCTGACGCGGTAGTGCTCGGGCCAGAGGCGTCGGCCGGCGAAGTAGGCGTACTGCGGGCTGACGACGCACTCGCGGGCGCGGTGCAGCAGCGAGTAGCCGTCCTCCGAGGCGTCCGGATGGCGCTCCATCAGCGCCAGCGAGAGCGGCGTCGCCACCACCGCCTTGTCGCGCGACGCCACCACGCTCGCCATCTGGCTGAAGTTCCACGTCCCCTCGGTCTTGCGCGCCAGGTCCGCCAGCAGCCCCTGGCCGCGCCGCTCGCGCGCCGCCCACGGCTCCAGCCACCACTGCGTGTAGATGACGGATATGGACGAATTCACTTCTTCCAGGGTGTTGATCTCGTCTTGGTAAGAAGGCGTGACGATGAAGCCCGTGAACGCCCCGGCGATCGTGTTCCCAACGAAAAATCCGAGAAGACTCAGCGATATCATGAGACGGCGATAACGGTTATTGAAACTTCCCAACAAAATGGTTTCACTCACTTGAAAAATTGCTTGGTTCACGCGGACCTGGAAGGCGAAAACTAACAGCAATGCGAAAAACGCGAAGTACAAAAAAGTGGTGACCAAGACAGAAGCGGACATTGTGACCAGTAAGCTTGTACGGACTCTGGGAGCTTTCGAGACTAACAAGCAAAAGTCGGCTGAATCGTGGGCATACAAGTACTTGAGCATGTGCATCTTGCCGTGGCAGAAATAAGGTTCTGAGAAGACGTCAATAGTTCCATCTAGGAGAAGCTTGCATCCGTTGGCCCATGACGAGTGCTCAGCTCTTTTCACAGCTACGGACTTGCAGATGTAATGGGTTTTCGTGGCAATGTCATGCAGTATCGCGTCGTGTCTGACGAACGGAGGCGCTGCGCTGTCGCACCAACGTGAATGATGTCTCGTTTCTGGAACGCCTATTCGAATTACTCGGTTCTTGATTATTTTTGTAGAAAGACATATCTCTTCCTCTTTATTAAAAAAATCCGTTGCACTTTCACTACGTGTGCTCTTGACTGTGCTTGTGACGTTTCGCAGAAGTAATTGGTTAGCAATGGCGTTTTTAGTAGAAAATATCAATGTTGCAAACAGAAAAACCTTATACAAAAATACCATAGTCTACGAAGTTTTCAGTAACAGGCGCATAAATTGAAAGTTTTTTTTAAATGAGTTATTTGGTGAAAGTATTTTAGAAACACGAACTTGACTCGAACAGAAACTGAACTAAATATTTTCAATTGTGCAGCAGGTTGTCTTCCATCTGCGACAAATTGTCACCGTCTACGTTGTGGCTTCACAAGACAATTATTACCTTTGGTCGATGAGCTGCATCCACAGCGTCACTGACACTGAAATGATACCCCGTTTTAGAATTCTACGTAGGGACGTATCGTTCACGCCAACCAACGTTTGCAATAGCAAACCAATATTTGTCGTCGACGTTGATGAAACAAACGAGGTCGCAAAGCGATAAACCTTCCACTAAAAATATGTAAAATAAACTGCAATGAAATAGTCAGATTGATATTTTTTTAAATCGATAGAATACTGTCCAGAACGTATGTAATGCAAGAAATTACTGTTATTCTGTATATGTAATTGACGTTTTAGGTTGTTATTCAAAAAGCAATATTCGTAATCGTAATCGTATGTTTCAAAATAAAAAGTTAAAATGCATATGAAGATATTTCACTTAAAAACATATATCAATGAAAAATAACATGTTAGTTCTGGGACAGGGAAAGTAAAAAAAAACTGTAAGAGAACTATATCGCAGATGCAGGACCTCATGCAATGTGTAATTAGGAATCCGAAAGGTATAGTCGCGTGAGAAAATTGTGTCAATAAGTATACTCACGTCCACGAATACTTTGTACCAAACAAATGATACACCTACGGGCAACAACTCGCAAGTGTTCAAACTAGCTGTGAGATGGAAACGTTATAATTTTTTTGCCAATGTTTTTTCTTACAATTGGGTAAGAATACAAGTTTCTGACAAAAATTCCCAAAATAACATCAAATTGTGAATAGCAGCTGTGCTATTATACCTAATTTAAATTTATTTAGTTTCAAATTAGTTGATAATTGTTTTTAAACTTTTTTTTTCATATTACGAGCATACATTATTGATGAATTGTTTTGCCCCAATGCGAAAAGTAAAATAAAAGTGTATTATGATATAATGAAATCGCGTTCATTTCACAAAATTATAATAAATAATAATGGGTAATGATTATGATAATCGTAACGATAATAATGACAATAATATAACAATAATATAAACTTCGAAAATGCCCTCAATTGTCACAAAAATGGTGAAGCAATCGGCTTAAGTGCATCCAAATTATCTGAAAGTCCATTAACTTTTTCTACTAAGTATATTTTAAATTATACAGCCCGTTTAAATTTTCAGTAATTGAAGGACAGATCTGAAAGTGGGCTCGACAGGGCAGACCAGAACTATTCGTTTTTATTTTAATTTTTAATCATTATATTTCAAAATCTATTTTCTTGTGTATAAAGTCAAGTTAATTTATAAGTTAATAGCACCTCACCCAACTGCTTCTGTAAACTGAGACAAAGAAAAAACCAAAATAGAAGTGAGCTGGGAAAAGCGGTACGGGAATTCAATTCGGACAGGAATTAACCTCATGCCCCATCGCAAAGAGTTTCCTACGCTATATAACTGCAGTTGGTCAGGATGGAATTTTTATTATCCACATTTACTGGTATATGCTTCCCAGATATATTGGAGATTATTGCCCCCACACCTACCGATCGATACCATCGCAAACATGTGGTTGTCACAGATCAATACCATAAGGGACAGAGCCACGCGCGAGAGGTTTCGTGTCAGTTAATTTAAACAAAGACCGGGAAAAAGACGGAAGAACACAGTTTGTGCATTTACATAGCACAACCCCCTTTAGAGTTGCAGTATACCATTCCACAAAAAAGTAACAATGGAGAAGGCAGCACGGTCAGTTGTGTTGGTTTAGAATGCAACGCCGTGGAGCCTTGGTTCAATAGGTTGTGGGTTTGAGTCATCGTTTGTGTATGTTTGTGGGTTTATGAATACATAGACTGTTTCGTCTCCTTTCTTCACCTTTTCCTCCTTATTCTGAGTACTCATATTTGGAAAATGTTGTATAAAATACTATTTAAACAATAATTTTGAAAAAAATTCATTAAGAAACTAGTATGCTACAACAGCACGTACTTTCTCGCGCGTATTTTCACGCAAAATTTACGCAAAAACTACTCAAATTTTCGAACAATTACATTTGATCTTATTTCTATCTTTAAAGAATAGATTTCATAAAGGAAAAAAAAAACTATCTTTCATTTTGTAGTGGTAGGAAGACTCCGAAAAATTTTTGAACGTTTGCAATTTTCGAAAAATCAAGGCTTTCACAGATCATAGGACCTGCATCCTTCACTTAAACATTATTCACAATACCCAATAAACAAATTTAATAAAAAACAATGGAGCTATTTGTTAGAAAATATCGAAAATGTCCCAGGGGCATCATGTAAAGAATCCTCAAAAAATAAAATACGTTCAAATTTAAGGAATCGAGACACTAGCCATATCAATTGACGAATATCAATTATGGAGAAAATCGGATGAATGGTTTAGCCTATGCTGAACGGTTTATGCTACATCAGTTCACGGACGGACGGATAGATAGATTGACGGCCAGTCGGCCAGCCGGCCAGACAGACATACGGACGAAGTGAGCGGACAAATTTGGCGGACGGACGGGCAGACTGACGGACGGACGGCCAGACGACGGACGGGACGGGCAGACTGACGGACGGACGGGCAGACTGACGGAACGGACGGGCAGACTGACGGACGGACGGCAGGACTGACGGACGGACGGGCAGACTGCGGAACGGAGCGGCAGACTGACGGACGCGACGGCAGACTGACGGACGGACGGGCATGATGACGGACGGACGGGCAGGACTGACGGACGGACGGGCAGACTGACGACGGCGGCAGACTGACGGATGGAACGGGGCAGGACTGACGGACGGACGGGCAGACTGACGGACGACGGGGACCAGACTGACGGACGGACGGGCAGACGGACGGACGGAACGGGCAGAACTGACGGACGGGACGGGCGAGACTGGACGGTAACGGACGGGCAGACTGACGACCGGACGGCGCAGACTGACGGCACGGACGGCAGGACTTGACGACGGGACGGGCAGACTGACGGACGACGGGCAGGCTGACGGACGGACGGGCAGCACTGACGGACGACGAGGCAAGACTGAGACGTACGGACGGGCAGACTGACGGACGGACGGGCAGACTGACGGACGGACGGCAGACTGACGACGGACGGGGCAGACTGACGGACGGACGGGCAGACGGACGGACGGACGGACAGACGGACGGCGGCAGGACGGACGGGACGGACGTGGCAGACGTGAGCGCAGCGAACGGACGGGCGGCGACGGACACGGACGGACGGACGCAAGACGCGCGGACGGACGACGGAGCAGGACGGCGGACGGACGGGCAGACGGAGGACGGCGGACGGGGCAGAGCGGACGGACGGACGGGCAGACGGACGACGGACGGAGACGGGACGGCAGGAGGGCGACGGGACGACGAGGCAGCGGACGGCGCGACGGGCAGACGGACGGACGGGGGCAGACGGCGACGGACGTCGGACGACGGCGGACGGACGGCGCGGTACGGAACGGACGGACGGGCGGGCAGACGGACCGGCACGACGGACGGGCGAGACGGACGTGCGACGGACGGACGAGACGGACGGGACGGACGGACGTACGGGCGAGCGGGACGACGCGGCAGTACGGACGGACGGACGGTCAGACGGACGGACGGACGGGCAGCACGGACGGACGGCAGCGCGAGTAGGAGCGACGACGGGACGCGGCAGGGAACGACGGACGAAACGGGCAGACGGAGGACGACGGGCAGACGGAACGGACGCCCCCGACGGAGCGACGGACGCGACGGACGAGGCAGACGGGACGGACGGAGACGGGGCGAGCAGCAGCGACGTACGACGCAGGACGAGGGACGGAGGCGACGGACGGGGCACGGACGGACGGACGGAGGCGGGCAGGTACGGGACGGGGACGCAGACGAGCGGACGGGAGGGCAGACGAGTACGACGGACGCGGCAAAGGACGGACGGAACGGCAGATCGGACGTACGGACGGAAGCGAGGACGGAGGCAGACGACGCGACGGACGGGCAGACGGAACGACCGGACGGGCAGACGGGGACGGGACGGACGGGGAGGCAGACGGACGGCAGACGGGACGGGCAGACGGACGACGGGACGCAACGGACGACGGACGGGCAGACGGACGGACGGACTGGGCAGACGACGGACGGAACGGGCGACGACGTCACGGAACGGGCAGACGGACGACGGACGGGCAGACGGACGGACGGACGGGCAGAC